ACTCTGTTGAAGTGGTTGGTGCTTGGGTCGATGTTGGGAGCTCTGTTGAAGTGGTTGGTGCTTGTGTTGTTGTTGGGAACTCTGTTGAAGTGGTTGGTGCTTGGGTCGATGTTGGGAGCTCTGTTGAAGTGGTTGGTGCTTGTGTTGTTGTTGGGGACTCTGTTGAAGTGGTTGGTGCTTGGGTCGATGTTGGGAGCTCTGTTGAAGTGGTTGGTGCTTGTGTTGTTGTTGGGAACTCTGTTGAAGTGGTTGGTGCTTGGGTCGATGTTGGGAGCTCTGTTGAAGTGGTTGGTGCTTGTGTTGTTGTTGGGGACTCTGTTGAAGTGGTTGGTGCGTGGGTCGATGTTGGTGACTGTGTAGAAGTAGGCGAATCTGTTGACGTTAAAGTGTGAGTTGTTGTAGGTTTATCTATAAGAAATAGACACATGAAGCTAAGCATAAGTGCGCGTTCCGTCCCCGCACAGTTCGAAAGGATATATTTCACCTACCACATACATTTGATGACAACAGGAACTTCTGCATTCGACTATTTTTGTTATCTAATACAAAAATGTTTCCAGCTCTGTCGAAACTAAACGACCACGGTAAATTTAACTGATCTGGTGCTGAACCGCTTGATCCTGAACAGCCTACTACACATCGGAAAATGTTTGCACTGGAACCAATGACGCGACTGTTAGTGTACTCGAGAATAAAAAGATTACCATTGGCGTCCATCGTAACTCCTGTTGGATTACCAAGAGTGATGGGTCCAGCCGATCCATTGATAGGCACTGTTGTTCCGGTCAGGTTTCCTAGTTGAAACAGTTGAATTCTATTATTAGAGTAATCAGCCACATATAGTTGAAAATTGGTTGTTACAAACACACCACTAGGATTTTTAAGTTGGACAGACGTAGATCCGCCTGTTCCATTACCTGCGACAATATCGGAATTGCTGGTAAAATTAGTTAATGATTGACTGATAACTTTATGCAAACCATACACAGAGCAGTAAAGGGTATTATTAATGTCGACAAAGAGGCCACCACATTGCTTAGGTACGACGATATCAGAAGGTGATTCTGTTCCATTAAAAGCCCATTTTTTTATTCGGTAGCTGGAAGAATTTTCTTTAGTATCAATGTATATGTCATTTGTGTCCGTTACAAATACGCTCCAACTATCATTGAGACTTGTGGGAAGATAAACTATCGAATTAGTACTTCCATTGAGCCAAATAGGAGATGGACCTGATTGTCGATTGATTGACACCACAGTATCATCCGTAGTGACAAAACTAGCATATGGATATAGGCCAACAGTGCTAATATTTGCAAAAGTAGTAGCATTGGGGTTCCATGTCGCGTTAGGACATAAATATGGCTGATTGTATGATAGAGCTAAAAAAATAAAGCATTCATCTTAAAAGAAGGTAGTGTATCTCTAGTGGCAAATTGCTGCGTTATATAAACAATTTCTCAATTATTCTTTCTTCACACAAATCTTATATTCTGTTGATTGGAAAAACATAAAATCAAAGAGAGTTATCTCCATTGCGCAATCGAGATAATTCCTTTGGAATCTATAGAGTAAAAGATAAATCACCTGTCTGAGAAGATCTAAAAAGTAAGGTACAAGTTTCATTGGTTATAAATAATTTGAAAACTATTCATTTTTATTGAAAACTACCTTCTCTCACAGCATTCATTCGTTTTACCTTTTGCCTTGCTGATCATAATTATCGCCAGAAACCAAACAATGTAGTTATCCACAATCTGCATTCCAATTCAGAGTAAACTATAGCGCTTTTGAAAGAGACCTCCCGCCGATTCTTGTATAATTAAAATGTATAACGAATTGATTCTATTGCTCTCGGTAGTACTGAATCAACATAAATATATGCATCAACAAATCAAACACATCGGTAACACTAAATAAGAGTAAATTTCTTTCGGAAGCGTGAGTTTCATTACATTGTGTATGTTTTCTATATGAATACTCGTCAAGGAAGATAATGAGACAAATAAAAGTGGGATGTTCTTTCATATGAAAAGAGATTGGTTCCGCGAAAAACAACTCGGAAAGTATTGTTGCATGAAATTTTGCCAAAGCCGACTGCGAGAGCTGAAGTCGATGTGAATGGCCTTGAGCCATTGTTGGCAAGATGAAGAATTTCGCTTTCATATGTCATAGGCAGATATGCAACACAGAATCGATTGTACGAGTTATTACCGGAGAAAACACGTGGTTTTGTGTACTTTTATCACACTTAAAGCAGATTGTTTCATCGTGAATGGTCAAAGATGTCAAAAATTTTCTACTTTTGTCTGAAATGTATTAATTTTGTTCCAAACATACATTGAAATTCAGAATATTTTTCTAGTTTCTCATCAGTGAAACTAATCACATAACAGTAGTGAAGTTCGAAAACTTCTATGAGTTGCACCTTGAGTACTTCTCTTGATGTCCCGTTCGCAGACGTGGAAATCAGAGAAACAAGTTTTGTCTTAGTAGAAAATTGAAATGAGAAAAAGCGCCCGTCGATAATTATACTCCGCGTTTTGTAAACAATGAGAACGGGTTATTTTTCATACGAATCAATCAGACACCGAGTGGTAAAAAATACTGATCAATTGTGTATAGTGCCTTTTTAAGATATGTTCTCTTCTAGCATTAGACATTTTTCGTAATGCATTTTCCTATGTTAACTGTGCTCTAATTTATCGTACGGCATGTAAATGATTGATTTGTATCTTCCTACTCGTGGGACATCGGTACATTTATAAAAACAAAACGTTTATCGGTGAAAATAGAAAAGAGGAACTCGTGACGAGAGTATTTCTCTACCGTCTTGCCCGATAACAAAAATCCACAGTGAAAAAATCGAAAAGATCACATATTAATCAAAGGTAGAATTGATGACTGGTGACGTGTAGAATGAATCGATACATGAAGACAGTCGCGTTGTAAAGTCGTGACTTGTGTGTGTCGATTCAGTTGAATGTAAGAAGAGAAAATCTGATTACAATTGACTTCATTGAGCTTTCATATGGAACATATCATGACTATCATCAATCTTAGGAGATAAAATGCGTAGATTATCTTGTGCTCAATGTAAAGACAAAAGAAGTTATCGATGGTCGTTCTTCTTCTGTTATACTATTTGATTCATTACGAAATCTTCTCTATATGTAGATAAGAAAGTATAGAAGAAGAAGAAAAGAACGTAAATGTTGAGTTCTTCTCTACATGTTTTACCTTCTTGTTATTTACACACGTGAATAATATCATTTCGTATAAATTAACATTCTTATTATACTCCGATGCAAACAGCCCAGCTGAATGAACGTAATGGTCATGTGGTGATCGTGAGCATACCTCGACTCGGTCATGTCATTCCAATGTTAGACTTAGCGAAGCATTTGTCGACTGGCTGTAATGTAACTTTTGTCGTATCGCAGTCGATACTTGATAAAATTAAAGAGATGGGTTTAATTTCTCACGAGAACACGACTGATCGGTTGGAATTCATTGGTTTATTGGATAGTCGCAATGACGAGAGTAAAGTGAGTCTTTCAGATGAATTATCTTTGCATATAATTCCAGATGATTTTACTAGACATTGAAACTCGATGATGACATCAATCGAATGAATGTGTCATTGACAGAATTATTGTCTACTATATCTGTCACATCATCATCATCTTCCTTATTATTTACTCGACCGATCACTCGTCCAGTGCATATGATCATATCTGATATTTTCAATCCAGTACCCCTCCGTATTGCCCATGAACGTCATATACGTACTCAAATCTTCATGCCGTGCAATTTTGAAAATCTCTCTCGGTATATTAAAATATTCCTTGGCGAACTAGTGGCTCCGATGAGCCAACTGTTCGTTGCAAATTTCCTCGAAGCATTTACTTTTGCTGATGGAATCATCTGCAATTCAATCGCTCAATTAGAAAAACATGCAGTCGACCGATATCGACAGCAATCAGCCATTCGTTCCGATTTGCCTGTCCGATTTGTTGCTCCTCTTTTTCCTGAAATAGGCAACATACAAAAGGTAAAACTATATGAGTCTAATTCGATGAAAATTGAATACTTTGTTGGTTGTATAGAACGATACAACGATACGTGTGAAACAATGGTTAGATGCACAATGGCAGAAATCAAACGGATCTCCATCGGTTATTTACATCGCATTTGGCTCAATTGTTAGTTTAACACGTGAGAAAATTGCCGAAATCAGTCATAGTGTTGCTTCGCATCCATATATCTGGTCATTAAAAAATGATCTTCACAAATATTTGTTACCATCGACTAACGATGATGTACACCTCGTCCTTGATTGGCTACCTCAACGACTTGTTCTTTCTCATTCTGCGGTGAAATTGTTTATATCACATGGCGGATGGAATAGTGTCCTTGAAAGTATGTCCGCTGGAAAACCCATGCTTATCTTACCGATGTTTGGTGATCAATTTCTTAATGGACAACGTGTGAATTATGAATTCGGTACGGGACGAGTTATTCAAGATACGAATTCAAATGGTGAAATGAATCAATATCTTCAAGAATTATTCGATCCATTCGCGTCGTTCCAAGAAAAAGCTCGAGAAACGCAAATGATCGTGCAGCATGCAAGAGAACATACGTCGCAAGAAGATTTAAATGAAATCGTTAACATGATCAGAACATAGGAAAACTGATCAACTGCTTTGAGGATGCAGGTGAAAACATCCACTAGATTACCATAAAATAGATATATGTAACAAGGAAAGCTAGATAAATAAAACGTAAATTTGTCCTATATCTGCCATATAGAAAACAGGTCATACAACGATAAAAAGGTATATCTGTATATTATGTATTCTATTATTGGTCGGAAAGATAAGCATTACTGTAGAATATTTATTCGAACAATAATTCGTTTTTCACTCTTAAATTGAAACTGTTCTTGAAGTGAAACATGGACTACAGTCAATCGTATCGTTTAATATTTACTAGTACAGCTCTTTTCTTATTGTTAAAATTTATTACTTTGACGGTAGCGACGTCAAATGCCAATGTTATTAAAATGATACCAAGAAAAGTCTTATCCACAAAGACTTACAAATCAGGTAAGCTTTCAAGTAACATTTCCATCTGGTTTTATTACCAATAATGCAGTTTTTGTCACGAGAAATAAATGAAGCGAAAGCAAAATTCTCATGAACTCTTTTTCCTCAGCGTGTAGAGTTGTTTCTTATAAGGGCTATTTTTGTATACTTAAAAGGTGAATATGCTGTGTCTGTTTGAATATTTCTGTCATACTTAATTATAGTTCAGAAGAAAATCTGTATCCCTGTCGGCATTGTTGAAAAGAATGACTGGAAAAATCTTTACATACATCAAAATTACGGACAAAACAAAATGATTCGATTGAATCCATAACACCACGTTTGTAGATCCGAGTATTCAAACCCGCAAACTAAAGTAAAGCAGCCGATTTGTTTTATAGAAGTGATTTCAGGATGTCTAACATTCAAGGCAGTAAAGGTGACTGTTATCTAAAGAAATCGGCGCAAGTTCTATGATTTCATGACAACGGATTCATATAAGTATGAACGATATGCATGGATGTACTGAAGTTAAAATTGAAATAGATGATGCAATGTTTGAGAATACTGAGTTGTAGTCGAATGTCAACAGGCAAGCTCTTACTTAGAACATAAGGAGAAACGATATGCATAGGGCACAACAAAAGTATTTTCTCCTAGCTCTTTTAGAAGTCTTATGCGAAACCTAACCATACTACTATGATGACCAGATATATTTAGGGTGGATCAATGTTGGTAATATGCATAGCAGTCGAGCATTTCATACAGCATCGTTACTACCAGATGGAAGGGTACTAGTTACTGGTGGTGATACTGGTACAGATACGACAAATGGTACAGAATTGTATGATCCTTCAACAGGACTTTGGACAACTACTGGTAGCATGCATTATGCACGAGATAGTCATCAAGCAATGGTATTAAGGGATGGTAAAGTATTAGTTACTGGTGGAGATAATTCCAGTGCTGAGATATATAACCCATCAACAGGAAATTGGACAATCACTGGTAGCATGGCATATAAACGAAATTTCCATATATTATCCTTGTTGGAAAATGGACAAGTATTGGTTACTGGTGGACTTGATGTCCAAACGGCAGAATGCCGGAGTAGTGCTGAATTGTATAACCCATTGACAGGAATTTGGACGATTACTGGTAATATGAAAGATTCACGAGCCTGTCATACAGCGACGGTCTTAAGAAATGGAAAAGTATTAGTTACGGGTGGAATTAGCACTGGATCCCAACGGTATCTGAAAAGCGCTGAATTGTACGATCCATCAACAGGGAGTTGGACATCTGCTGATAGTATGAGAGATATGCGATTCTTTCACACAGCCTCGCTGTTAGACAATGGGAAAGTATTAGTTACTGGTGGATCTCAAGACACTGCCGAACTATACGATCCATCAATAGGACTTTGGGCAGCTACTGGTAGTATGCATTATGCGCGAACAAATCACCGAGCGTCCATGTTAAGAAATGGTCAAGTATTAGTTACTGGCGGGGCTGTTGATACTTATTATGTTTCGATAAACAGCAGTGAATTGTATGATCCAGCAACAGGAACATGGATAACTACTAATAACATGCAATATACTCGATTGGCGCATGAGGCAACCATTTTAAAAGACGGCCGAGTATTAGTTACTGGTGGCGAAGACGGTAAATACCTAAAGACAACTGAATTATACTACGATTAACAAAACAGAAGCTTCAATTGATGTTGAAAGTGATACTTTTGCGCAAATGAATGGCATAAACAGTCCTGAACCTTTTACATGATTATTTTTTCTTTTCAGTATTGTTCTAAGAATTATGAATCGTTGTTTTTCTTAATTGATTTTTAATTGATCTACCTTTAAATAATTACTGACGATAAAACAGTATTTATCACGATGTTCTCCCTCTAAGTCAACACCATATGATAGAGAATTATATTCTACACCTACCACAGTCTTTGCCTGAATATTTCGTTCAATTAAAGGAACGACAACATATGAGTCTGTTTTAAAGAAAGGTGAACGTTACACAGCTTGATCATCAATGTCTCGTACATACCTTACTCATTGGCTATCAAGTACTCATTTACACTGTCTGGAGACACGAATAACTATGGTGTCTACGCTAGAGCGAGAATTGTTGTGCTCCAGGCTTTCGCTAACATAATTTGCTTCTCAAACAGCCATGAAAGGTAACACGTCCGTTTTCACATTTTCGTGGCCCACGGGCCATCCGCTCTGTCTCATACCAATTGTCCTTCAGTAAATGGGGTCTATCACAACTTTTGATCGGATCAATTCAATGAAAAAGGAAGATACTGATGGCTATTTCAACACACTATACTATATCATAACCAGATTTGCACAACAATTTCTCTTCACTTCACTTCTAATTGCTTTACAATGAAGTGGTACGCATCGAAAGTATCTTTCTTACTTTCATCAACAAATGTACCCGTCATTCTAAAACTTCCAATTTTATTTTTATCCGTCGGTGTTATCGGTGTGTGCATATCAGCAACTGTTATTTTATCATTGATCAGTATCTATATTCCAAATCATGCAACAGGTAAGTATACATTAAAGTAATGAATATCTCCATAGAATTTATTGATTTACTAGGGAGTACATGCCCAATTTCATTTTTCCCAATGCTTTCTCAATTTGTTGGTCGTGGACCAACAGCAATTCGAGCTGCACATTTAGATAACGATTGTTTCCTGGATATTGTTGTTGCTAACTACGACGAAGGTAGTGCAATTGTATTGTTCGGCTTAGGCAACGGTAGTTTTAGTCGACAAATAACAATTTTTAATCAAACAAATGCCGGCACAAATGGTATTGCTATCGGTCTTATCAATAATGATACTCACATGGATATTGTTCTTGCTAATAGGAACGCCAGCAATGTTCAAATCTATTATGGTGATGGTTATGGAGGTTTTTCAACTTCAGAACCCATAGCAACAGGAACTAATTCAAATCCGGTAGAAGTTGCTCTTAGTGATATAAATAATGACACATACACCGATATCGTCGTGGTTGCCCATGTACTCGCTGAAATACAAATCTTATTGCAAAATGCTGATGGATCATTTCAAAATGCGATCGTTCTTCCCACTGGAAATGGATCTGGACCGTATTTTCTATCAATTCATGATTTTAATCGAGATCAACATGCCGACATTGCTGTTGGTAAAGGTGAAGATAACACTTTATCCATCTTTTTTGGCAATGGCACAGGACATTTCTCAAACTCAACAAATTATAACATGGAACCAGGGTCATACGCACTTACTGTTAATTATTTCAATCGAGATGATATATTAGATATCGTTACAGGTAATTATGATGATGGTAGTACAACAATTCTTTTTGGAAATAGTGATGGAACATTTACCAAACAAAAACGATTTTCTACGGGTGTTGGATCTTTGCCATATGCGATTGATTCAAATGATTTTAATAAAGATCATGCTCAAGATGTTATTGTGGCGAATTCAGGTACAAATAATATTGGAATAATGCTCGGGAATGGAAATGGAAATTTTTTGATGCAAAAAACTTTCGCTACGGGAGCAAATTCTGAACCAAGAGATGTGATTACTGGAGATTTTAATGGGGACAATCGAATCGACTTTATCTCTGCAAATTATAGACAAAATTCAATAGGAATATTTTTAAGCACGTGTTATAATAATCTTGTTGAATAGATGAAAGGTTTATTGCGAAAATATAACTTTTTGATTCTATCTGATGTCGTACTTTCACGTTAACCCTTGGGGATCAGTACCGCAGTCTATTTATAATATTTTGTTTTCTTTTCTTAATAGATAACGAATTCTTAGCAACGTAACTTGTAATGATTGTGTTATCTAGCAAAAAACTAATCACGCGTTCATGTTTAAGATCTTCTTAGTTAATTCTAAAAAAAGAAAATAAAGTATAGACTCTTGAAGCAGAAAGCTTGTTGCTGTTGTAGTGTGTTCATTTGATTATTTAATTGAGAATCTGCGTCCAGTAAGCATACATCAATTAAGAAATGGGCTTATAGCTTGTTAGTATTGTCGTTTTCTTTCGGTACACAAACAATGAATAGCGAAAACCAATCGTTCATCGGAGAAAACAATATAATCACCTATCCAATCTTATTTTCTATTCTATTAGCTGTTCTCATTCCCTCGATTCTCTGCAGTCTTCTCATTTTCGTTTATTTCTTCTCTCATTGGCGAACATCAATCATCAATTCTTTGCACAATCATCCCATCCTTCTTCTCAGCATCACTTCTTTCTTGTACAATACCTTTGATCTTCCTTTCACTATGAACACCTATCGAACAGGCTCTGATACACCTCGAAACCGCACATTTTGTCTCTGGTGGTATTGGATCGATTATACACTTCTGGCCGTAAGCTTGTATCTCGCCATGATCTCGAGTTTTCAGCGGCACGTTCTCGTTTTCCATTCGCACTTGTTACGTCTTCGTCGACTACGATGGATTCTACATTACAGTCCATTGATATTCGGAGTGGTTTATCCATCGTGCTTCTATCTTGTAGTCATATATTTGTACCCCTGTGAAGTGTCATATGATGAGACAAGTCAGTATTGCTTGTATCCATGTTATTTGGATGTTATTCTTGCGTATAATTTGGACTGGGTCTTTAATATTGTGCTTCCGGTACTGATGAATGGCTTCGCGAATTTTATATTAGTCGTGCGTGTGATGCGTTCGATGAAAAAAGCTCGTCAACAACAAAGAAACACTTGGAAAAAGCAGAAAAGATTAACGCTCAATCTTTTGGTTTATTCTTCGTTATATTTTCTTCTTTGGCTTCCGGCAGTTGTTATGACTACAGTAAGTAATAGCGCCAATAAACAATTGCTGGAAAATATTCCTAATCTTTACTATTTATACTATATTTATGTATTCATTTGTCCATTACAACCGTTCATGTGCGTATTGGCCCTGCCTGAATTAGTTCAAATTGTAAAGCAAAGACAAAGAGCACGGCGAGTTATCGCACCTGAAGTGCCTCTTACGATAGGAAGGACTGGTTTACAAGTGAAAAATAATCAATGGTACGGATTGTGAATCGGTCTTCTATAATTTTTACTGTTTAGTATAAAAAAAGACTACTATTAATACTATCGATTCTCTTTCTCATACAAATAAAATCTATAAAAAGAAACGATTTGCACAAGTATTTTTTTTTGTTTGCTTTTTCTCTAAACAAAATCTTGTTTAATGTATTGAGTAAACGACCGTTCAACGCTTAAAAACGATACCTTTGCGTCGCATTTGTTTGCATGCAAAGAAAAGTTGTTATATGTTTACATCCGTCTTTTTAAACACATGAAAGATCCCTTTTTTTCCTTAGAGACACTTCTTCCTTAATCAGTGTCGTCTGTATAGGTTACTCTCATTTTTAACTGTATATCAACGCTATTGTCTATGAAAAGAACGAAAGATATTTTTCAATATATCAAACAAGCTACGAAAGAAAGAGAACACATTTATTCATCAATTTTACGCATGGTTATATGTACAGTAGACATCAAAATACGCGATTCAACATATTTGACGATGAAGAAGCGTGACGACGCCTTCACGAATGTAATTCATTTTTCATGTCGCGAATGAACATACTGAGTGGGTAAGTTTTAACATTGAGAACTTCTTATACAATTGTGTCTTTGTATCGTGAAGACTTCGCTAGTGGTAACATGAAACGGAACACGTTCTGGAAACAACATTGTAGTACAATTAGGAAAATCGTGTTTATTCTTTTCATTCTCGGAAATATTCTGTTGAGTTTATATGCCGCGAAAGCTTACAATCAAATGAGACAGCGTCCGATCATACCTCACAACAAAACAGTTATTTGGGTCAGCGATTATCACATAAGGTATTGAAGATTTACTTCGAATTTTGACGAACTCTTCTTCGATTTAGTCCGGTTCACGATATTAAGGATCAATTTAAGGCGTTCGATGTTTATTTCATCGACAAAAGTTTATCAGGTGCTTGTAGTCAAACTGATTCTTGTGCAAAAGATCTGAAAGTGTTAACTCCAGACAATGGCATCGCGCCAAGTCCTGCTATTCGACAGCAGTTTTACGAAGCTTATAAAAATGATGTCGAAATGAATCAAGTGAAAATCTTCATGTGTTTTCATTCTGTTGCCATGTGCGAGCTATTCATGCCGTTCAATCGAACAATTATCATTGTCTCATCGACACGATACGAATTCGGAAGACATGGAAAAGAAGACTGGCAACTTTTGAATCAAAATTTACAAAAGATCGCTTCGAATCCAAAGTAATTTTATGTGTAAACGAGACGTCAATTGTTCATCATTTCCTGTTTAGAAATGTCATTGCTGGGAATAATTTGTACGACGCTGAATACATTCGATACTTCACCGGCATTCAGACGATTGTTTTACCATCGTTATGTGCTTACACTCAAGCATCGTATTCACGATTGAACAAAAAACCGTTTATCATTACTCGAATCGAGAAGAAAAGTTTCTCTGTTCTATTCAAAATGAACCTAACAAATGCGCTGCGACCTTTGAAAACTTCGATCACCGTTGCCCATCTCCGTGAACATTACAAAGGTCATTATTCCTATCGTCATCTTGCTCAACATCCAGGAATTATCTATGTTCCATACCAAGTCTCTGTTATGAGTTTATTCGAACAATATCGAATGAATATTCCATTGTTTTTTCCCTCGCTTGACCTTCTAACGCAATGGCATTTCAAATATCGTCTACTTGCTGAACGAGCTTGGGATGGATTATCTGAGAAGTATAAAAATGCTTCGCTCATTTCCGGCGTTTTGTCACCCGACATTCCTGATCCGAATAACGAATTGGATATGAATGCGATTCGCTACTGGTTGAACTTTTCGGATTTTTATCAGTGGCCACATATAACGTATTACGAATCGACTAATGATTTAGCCGAAAAGTTAGTTAACGCAAACCTCGATGAAATCAGTGCGAAAATGAAAATTTATAATCAAAATTTGAAGGAGACGCTGCACGCAAAATGGAAGGAAATACTGGACAAAATTAGATGAAGATTCTCTAGTATTATCAAGAGGAATGAGAAGAAGTATTTTCCTGCGAAAATAAAATCCGAAGACAAGTTGTTCAAAGTCATTTATTCGTTCCTTCATTCTTCTCTCTAAACTCCACGACTTGTTAACTTTTGAATAAAATCGACCCTTTTTCTTTCCTACACCCGATGAAGATTTAACCTTGCCTTTAACTTTTGCAAAGCGCCGTGAAAGGATCAATGTACTGATCGTGTTCACCAATGATTTCTCATGCGCATATAGATTTACCTTTCTTTCAATCTTGACTAGATTCATCGATCGAATAACGAGCGATATAAACGCTCATGAGTAATCGATTAGTTTCATTTTTCTGTCGATAGAGATGAAATATTCGTTCGTATTCTTCGGAGTGCAGTTGACTCTTCTAGTTTATTCAGCATTTGGTCAAACAACAAGTGAACCGATCGAATGTTTACGAAATGAAAAGCAATGTGGTTCGAAATGTTATTTACCCGACACGCATAAATGTAATTCTGGTTTTGTATGTCGAAAAGAAGAAGGTTGGTGTGGAAAGGTATGTTTTAATCCAGCAACGGAAAAGTGTATCTGGGGCTTAATTTGCACCAAATCGCAAATCTGGTGTAATAACAAATGTATGGAGCCAACTAATGGAAAGTGCCGTTGAAAGAGACTAAAAGAATCTGTTTTAAAAAAGATGCACACTTTTCTACCTTTTTAGTATTCACTACTTTTAAGAAGACATTTTCACAGACCACAATTGATGCTTCGATTAATTCCATTTGAAATCGCTGATTTTTTTCAATAAAGTGTTTTTCCACGAATTCGGGTTAGAATTGCATCCTTCATTGAAGAGATAATGATCAGTTGAGTGTTCACTCAGCAAGATGCTCGACGATATCACGTGAATTGTATCATTTGGAAAGTACTTCTACAGATGAATGAAATAATAATCGCCAGTTATTAAACTCGATATATAGAACAAAAGCCTTGGTCCCATTTCCAGGCATGACCACCTGTTAAAATTCATTGAAATTTGCAAATAAACCATCGGCTATAGAAGCAGAAGAATTCTTCGTCAGAAAGATGTTTGAGTTGGATTATTTCGGCTACCAGTGAACTTCAGTTGTACAAGAGATCATAGCTGAAAGATACAATGTTAGTCACTAAAATACGAAGATCTGACCTTTCCATTTCGAGATATTTTGTATCATCCGGACAGGATTCTTCGATTTGATTTGTAGCCAGCAATACTTTCCAGAGTAGATCTAATCATGAATGCTGATAGAAGGACGTACTTGATAATATTCTGAAAAAGAAATGATAGATCAAGGTCTATAGGTTTCCAAGATCTCCGATGAACTGTTTACTTACTTCACGCTTGATATCTTTCATCTATTTACCAAAAGATCAACGTCCAACCCTCCTAAACAAACACATATTTTCAATGACCTGAGCAGAAACTTTCTATATACGTATGGTTAAGGTATTTTTGATAGTACATGTCATGCATAGCGACAAGACTGCTTCGACACTTCGAGATAGGATACCACAGGGTAACATTTTTTTTCAAAAGTCTCACTGCAAGATCTTCGTCTTTTTTCCCATTTATTTTCGTGTAGCCTGTATCAAAGATTTGCGACAGTAAACCATCCAGCTTCGTGAAATGATGAATATGCTGTTCAATGCAATGCAATCACTCACTCTTTCTATTAAACAATTTTCTTTCGTCAACTTGCTCCGCCAATTTTCCTCTTCGAAATTAGTCCATTTGGCCATTGCCCGTACGGTCTAACGACGGCATAGCGAACAATCGAGGTGATAATTTCTTTACAGAGAGAGAGAAGCAAAGCGTGTCGAAGAGAAGAATATAAAAATATAGAGATTGTTCATTGTTTAGAACAGAATACATCAAATATTTCCAGTGATATACAACAATATTGATTAAACAAGTAAGTGGGCTTCATCGAAATAAATTGCACCCAAGAGAGAAAATCAGTTTCAGTGATGATTCTCACACGCATACAACTGTGCCGTAATTCATCACACACCCTGCAAGCCACACCCTCTTTTCCATTTTCTATGCAGTAAAGGCAATCTATACTCGTTTAGATGTACATCGTCGCCATTCAATTCCATGGCAAAATCGATCTGTACAAACCAGAACCAGGTTTGGACAACGATACAGGCGGGCAAATCATCTATGTTTTACAAGCGTGTGAAGAATTGGCTCGACAAAATCATCAAGTAACAATTGTCACTCGTTTACTAGACGAAAGCAATCAGTACAGTGTCAAAGCACAGGAGCGAAACAATGTGAAATTAGTTCGGTTGGAGATGCAATCGAATAAATATCGAAGAAAAGAAGATTTATGGCCTTATGTTTGGGAATTTACGGATTCATGTGTGAATTACTTCATTGAAAATAACAAGTATCCTGATCTGATTATCGGAAACTACGCCGATGCTGGTGCTGTTGCTTTGCTGCTCAATCGAATGTTGAAGATTCCATTTATTTTCATTCCACATTCTTTGGGAAGAACGAAACTGAGAAATTTATTGCGGAATATCGATTCAAATGGTGATGAGCTCGAAAAACAATACCATTTCTCAACGCGTATCTATTACGAAGAACAATTGTTTCGTTATGCAACTAGCGTCGTTGTCAGCAGCGAACACGAGAAATTCAATCAGTGTACGATGTACAAAAACTTCTCTTCGAACAAAATTAACGTCGTAGCACCAGGCATTGAAGTTCCATCGATCATCGTTCGGTCGTCGATTCAAACCAAACGCAAACCGATTATTCTGGTCGCGCGACTGTCTCACACGAAAAATTTAGTCGCTCCCATCGATGTCTTAGCGCAGTCGGAATGGTTACGTGCGAATACGGAAATCATCCTCGCCACAACCAACGGCAAAGTAACAGACGAATCGAGAAGTATCCGCGTAGCAATTGAAGAACGATGTGCGATGTATCCTGACTTCGTTCGTTTCTATCAATTTGATTCTCAAGAAGAAATTTTTCAATTGTTCATATCGGCAAGAGAAGCTGGAGGAATCTACTTTAATCCATCATTGATCGAACCATTCGGTTTAACCACACTCGAAGCTGCTTCATACGGCTTACCTGTCGTTCTTACGGACAACGGTGGTACAACAGATATTATTCACAACGTTAACATTGGTTATTTAGTCAACGTTTACAACGAAAATGATATGATACAGAAGATTTCGTCGATTCTCAATGACGACAATACAGAAGTATGGAATTTGTTTTCTAATAATGGACTTCATAATGTTCTTAATTATTACTCATGGTACCGTTGGGTGAAGAATATCGAATCGATTTGTACATCTGATCAACCGCCTGTCGAACGATATGTGTTACCCAAGACGTTGTCAAATGATGCGATGGTGATCATTATTGAATTCGATGGTAATTTGGCGACGAGGGATCCGATACCTTTGTGTTCATTCAAAACATTCATTGAACAGTATACCGTAAATCTTTGTTTGGTATATTCTACTGACATGGGCCTGGAAGAAAGTTTGCAGATCGTCCAAGAATCAGCTTTGCCGTGTCCGAACGTGTTTATTTGTTATTCTGGTGATGAAATCTATTCGTACAATTCTTCGGAAAAGAAATATATGATTATGAAGAAATGGAAAAGTCTCATCAAACAGAACTCGACGCATTTCTTCGACATCACCAATCAAAGTCAATTTACTCAATGCACCGATAAGAATAGTTCAAAATGCATCACCTACGATGATTATTCAGATTATGATAGTAATTTAAAGCTGTTCCCAGTTCCGGCCGATGTTACGAAAAGATTAGTAATTCGTTGGTTGTTAAGTTGTTTATCCATTCCATTGAATCGTTGTATTATATGTTGTGATTTGAACAACGGTATGAATGCTTCGTGTGGTGCGATTAAACATGTGATGGTGAATAACAACGATCTTCCAACGGACAAATTAGATGCTTTTGATGGTGTTTACTTCTGCAAACAGAAATTTGCGGCTGGCCTGATCGAAGGAATTAAATTTTTTTTGTAATTTTATTGTAAAAAATCTGTGTGTTTAGTGTTGAAGATGACATTGTAATGAGTCATAGCATCTTCACTTGTGTTATCTCTTATTTCGGAAATAGAAACCAATAGACATTCACGCTATACATCACAAAAAAGTTAATCTATGGTATAGTAGAAAGATCAATGTAGCACCGGATACCTTCGAGAAGGATGGTGTTTTGATATAGATTCTGAAAGTTCATTCCATGTCTTCGATAACATTTGTCCAGTCTTTTGAGAAAAGTCAACCTGGGTCAATAATACGTACCGTCTTCATACAAGGACAGTTTCTAAGTAATCACTCGACGAAAACAACAAATAAGTCAGACGCCATAAACTATTGCACATTTTGTTCGACACCAATTATGCCAGTTTGAATTTTTCAGAAAAAACGTGATAGTTGAAAGCGACACGTATTACCTACGTATGCTTCGTCGACCTGTTCGTATATTAGAAAAAGACACAAGAATAAGATATTTTTGATTTATAAATGTTTAATTTTCGCAATATTGTCTTCGTAATTTACAAGCTTCACAAAAACAAGTCAAATCGTCTTCTCGATGTCTATTTCCATTATAGAGAATTGTTGGCCGATCTGGATCTATTGGACGTAGATCAACTCGACGTGTTTTAAAAGCTAATTTCTCGATTAAATAACGTATTGTTTCTGTAATCGAATCAGGTTGGTAGGTAGGAACAACAAATTCTTGTCGACATCGACGACATTGTTGACCGAACAATTTCCATTTGATGATGCGTGTGTGTTCGTAATATTGGAACAGAATACTCGAATGAATTCGACTGAACCATTGATTCCCACAATGAGCACAGTGAAATCTTCACGGAAAAACATTATGTTTATGAGAAAATATCGGCGCCACTTACTGTGCACCGGAATATCGTTTGAGAATCTGTTGACTACTATCGTTAGTAGCGACGATTTCTGGATCTTCAGTTTTTTCCAAATGCCATTGACGAAGAAAATTCATATTGGGATAACTATTCATATAGATTTGTTTCCAATGAGTAAAGGTTTGAAGAAAGAGTTGATCTTGAGCCATGATGATTTCAACGGCACGTGTAAGAAGAGAACAAGCCAAGAATAGAATGGAGTATGAAAAATGTATGTTCGCATTTCATAAGTAACCAAAAAAAAACACCACGTTTTTCGATAATGTCGATGATAAGAAGCAAAGCGAAAGCAATTTTCAACGCTTATTTCGTTCGATATCAAAGATGAAAAACGTCTGAATATCGTTTTGTCACAATTCACGAACCGAGTTTATTTTCAATACACTATGATTATATCATAAAAAACGATTTAAAGCAAAAACTTCCTTTTGCAGAGCTTTTCCACACCCACATTGTCTTATCTAATCATCAGTTTCAGTTGGTTGTTGACCGTTGTTGTTGTTGCCGCCAAAGAGTCCGGAAAAGAATTGACTGAGTGGTTTACCGTTGACAGACCAGTTTTGTCCCCAACCTTGGAAGAGTCGTGGTTCAGCATCGCGTTTACCGAATGGTTTGAAGTTGAAGTTCACGTTGTTGAACCATCCGTCGAACAAACGTTGGATTTCTTCTGCTGTCATATCTTTCAAATCACGTTTACCGAATGGTTTGAAGTTGAAGTTCACGTTGTTGAACCATCCGTCGAACAAGCGTTGAATTTCTTCGGGTGTCATTTCTGCAACGTTGCTTCGTTTGCCAAATGGCCATGGAATGGTAATATCAATATTGCTGAACCAACCGTCTGTCCAATCTTTGCGAGTATCTGGTACTTCTGTTTCCCGTTTTCCGAATGGTTTGAAGTTGATGTTCACGTTGTTGAACCATCCGTCGAACAAACGTTGGATTTCTTCGGGTGTCACATCTTTCAAATCACGTTTACCGAATGGTTTGAAGTTGAAGTTCACGTTGTTGAACCATCCGTCGAACAAACGTTGGATTTCTTCTGCTGTCATGTCTTTCAAATCACGTTTTCCGAATGGCTTGAAGTTAAAGTTCACGTTGTTGAACCATCCGTCGAACAAACGTTGGATTTCTTCGGGTGTCAGTTGAGTTTGAGCATGATCAATATTCATAGCCAGTGCAACACCAGCAAATAACAGCAAAAGAACCACTTTGGCTTGCATGTTGACTTTATCGATGTTCGATAGATTATTGATTTTCAAGAAGGACATTTGTCTCTTTATATACAACTTGGTCGTCTCATATGCGAACAAATACCAACTGGTGATATGCGATCAGCTGATGAAAGCAAGAAAACTGATAATGAAATTTTGATTATTTTCGATACTGGGAATATTTGTCATGTGGATGACAATTGGGATTCTTCAGTCCAAGTTATTTCGGGCATTTTCAAGAAAACAAACGATCACATGAAAATCTATTCACACGACTCTGCATTTATGCCGAACAAAAAAAGATTAAAATGCAAGAAAACGAATTCGATCGTTGAAGAAATGTAAATTGAACTGCAATTTCCAGGGAAAGGGACAATGATTTAAATTAATATTTAGTTCATATCTACTCTGGGTTCGTTCATTGATCAAACGAATCTTCTGTCGATCACAGTCGATAACGAATTCCAGAATATCATCCAAGTCCATATCGCTTTTGTAACTTTTCTGTCCTGTCTGGTTTTTTCCATTTAGGTAAACTTGATTTGTTGAAGACCAACCATAACTCGATGAACTGTTATGGCAAGTATTGATTAACGGCACGCTTTTTGATACAATTCCGCAAAAGATCCATTTATTCTCATTAAGATGCTGAATCTGAAATCGAAATCGGTGTTGACCTCGCAGAAATTCCTGCTGCACACGTGCGCCGGCGTGATTGCTCGTCTGATGACTATGAACAATCGCTTTTCCGTTATCGACAATCTGAATATGTTCAGTTGTTTGATCAAAAATTCCATCATTACAGATGGTAATTAGAAGCTTTGGAATAATTCGTATCACATCATCGATTGGTTCGATGCTGGCCGCTCTGCAATTGATTAAATCCTCTTTTAGCTCATTTAATTTCGTTTTCCATTCGCGGATTTCTGCTTCGAAGAAATTATCGTCTTCCCGAGATTGTTTTATATCATCGGTGAGAGTCTTGAGACGTTTTGCTAGATTTGTCTCCTGTTCAGAACAAATCTGTTTGATCTCGTTTCGAGTTTCATCGGCGAATTGATGAATCTTCTCAATTGAACTTTGTTCCCATTGATCGATCTGTTTGAAAAGCAATGTCTGACACTTTGCATCAAATTGTTCTATTAGATTCTGTTGCAATTGATCATGATCGATTGATAATTCGTCGATTCGTCTATCTAAATCCTGACGATGTTCATTCGCGTGAATTCGACAGAAGTCCTCTTCACATCCGCGACATGTGGGGCTTGTCCACGCAACGCGCTACTTCGGCCATTAAGTATTTTATTCAAAGTTGAAAGAGAGCATATATACCATGTTTTAGAACATGTTCGAAAGTGTCAGAAAATGTGCTTTGTTTTTGANGGCCATGGAATGGTAATATCAATATTGCTGAACCAACCGTCTGTCCAATCTTTGCGAGTATCTGGTACTTCTGTTTCCCGTTTTCCGAATGGTTTGAAGTTGATGTTCACGTTGTTAAACCACCCGTCGAACAAACGTTGGATTTCTTCTGCTGTCATATCTTTCAAATCACGTTTACCGAATGGTTTGAAGTTGATGTTCACGTTGTTGAACCATCCGTCGAACAAACGTTGGATTTCTTCGGGTGTCAGTTGAGTTTGAGCATGATCAATATTCATAGCCAGCGCAACACCAGCAAATAACAGCAAAAGGACCACTTTGGCTTGCATGTTGACTTTATCGATATTCGATCGATTATTGATTTTCAAGTAGAACATAGGTCTCTTTATATACAACTTGGTCGTCTCATATGCGAACAAATACCAACTGGTGATATGCGATCAGCTGATGAAAGCAAGAAAACTGCTAATGAGATTTTGATTATTTTCGATAATGGGAATATTTGTCATATGGACGACAATTAGAATTCTTCAGTCCAAGTTATTTCGGGCATTATCAAGAAAACAAACGATCACCTGAAAATCTATTCACACGACTCTGTGTTTATATCAAACAAAAAAGATTAAAATGCAAGAAAACGAATTCGATCGTTGAAGAAATGTAAATTGAATTGTAATTTCCAGGGAAAGGGACAATGATTTAAGTTAACATTTAGTTCATATGTACTCTGGGTTCGTTCATTGATCAAACGTATCTTTTGTCGATCACAGTCGACAACGAATTCCAGAATATCATTCAAGTCCATATCGCTTTTGTAAGTTTTCTGTCCTGTCTGATTTTTTCCATTTAGGTAAACTTGATTTGTTGAAGACCAACCATAACTCGATGAACTGTTATGGCAAGTATTGATTAACGATACGCTTTTCGATACAATTCCACAAAAGATCCATTTATTCTCATTAAGATGCTGAATCTGAAATCGAAATCGGTGTTGACCTCGCAGAAATTCCTGCTGCACACGTGCGCCGGCATGATTGTTCGTCTGATGACTATGAACAATCGCTTTTCCGTTATCGACAATTTGAATATGTTCAGTTGTTTGATCGAAAATTCCATCATTACAGATGGTAATTAGAAGTTTTGGAATAATTCTTATCGCATCATCGATTGGTTGAATGCTGACCGCTCTGCAATTGATTAAATCATCTTTTAGCTCATTTAATTTCGTTTTCCATTCTCGGATTTCTGTTTCGAAGAAATTGTCGTCTTCCCGAGATTGTTTTATATCATCGGTGAGAGTCTTGAGACGTTCTGCTAGATTTGTCTCCTGTTCAGAACAAATCTGTTTGATCTCGTTTCGAGTTTCATCGGCGAATTGATGAATTTTCTCAATTGAACTTTGTTCCCATTGATCGATCTGTTTGAAAAGCAATGTCTGACACTTAGCATCAAAGTGTTGTATTAGATTCTGTTGCAATTGATCATGATCGATTGATAATTCGTCGATTTGTCTATCTAAATCCTGACGATGTTCATTCGCGTGAATTCGACAGAAGTCCTCTTCACATCCGCGACATGTGAAAACACCTGCGAGTTTCTTACAAGTTGCACACGAACGCTTCGCGATTGGCATTGTAAGAATTTGTTATAGAGTTGTGTGATTTTTTCCTTTCTGCGTGAACTTTATCGTTACACGTAGAAGATTTTTCTTCGTTCTTAACGTGACCAATCGTAACAGTGAAAGACATCTGTCAGTAAATGTGCTGGGAATAATGGTAATGAGTTTTGCTACTGCAGGATTTATTAGGACTTCTTTTGAAAAGGAAAAAAATTCAATTTTTCGTGAATTTCAATGTTTTCATGATGTTTTCTAAGTGAGTTTTACTATTTCGATTGAAATAGGTAAGTAAAACCAAGAACAGTTGATTGTCTTTGACAATTTTTGCGTAGAATGTTTGTTTAATTAAAGGAAAGTTCGGAATTTTTGTTTGAATGCTATGTGTTTTGAAGTTTTCTCCATTGATGTTCACATTTTGACACGTTCCGATGAATTTCATACCCATTGCTAAAGTTTTCAAGATTTCTTGATTAACATCAAAATAATCACATGGATTTTTCACATTTCGGTAAGCGTTCAGATTCTCCGTCATCGATAAGATATTTGGATTCAGTTGACCATTAGTTGCGTTCAATGGATATTTTGAAAAACCAAACAAAGGTGTAATGTTTTCGACAGACCAATTCGATAGAATATGAGAAAATTTATGTTTATGCGATTCTATCAGCGAACTCGCCATTTGTATTAAATGAGATAATTCAGTCGGACTTGCGGCGTACCAATCTTTCGGTCTGTTTAATGTAAATCCATAAAGCTTGTTCTCATAAAGAACATCGCCTTTCCGCATCCGTGAAAATGTTTTACCTGAAAATTCAAACAGACGAATGAACAAAGCGAGAGAAACGGTCGTGTTTACCATTGATTCCTCCGAAAAGTGCGGAAATGAATAATATACACCAGATGAATTTCATCGTTGCGTTAGAATGAAAAGTGAAATTCGATTTGATTTTATATAGAGAGGAGAAAAAGATTAGAACACTTTTGTTTGTTCGTTCGCTCTCAATTTTCATTTCTTATCGAATTAATTGGATAACCTCGAATGAAGACGAAATTTCATTCGGGTCGATTCGAAATATAGAGGAGGTGCAGAAGTGATAAAGCATTTACAAGGCACATTTTCCTTATGAAATCTATGTAGATAAATCAAAGTTTATTTATCAAAAACAAAAAATCACGAAAATGATGAATGAGCGAAAGCTTTTTCTCTTTCAACTGCTATATTCGAAGATCGTGGAGTAGGAAATTATTTTTTGACGTAGCTTATGAATATGGGAACACAGTTGTACGATCAAGATATGTAGTCGAACAAGATAATCATAAAGATGAACACAATAGAAATTCGAAGTTTGTCCTTGTTGCATCCATGTCGTTCAACGATAAGCCTTCATCAAGATTCGTTCCGTCGGTTAATCGTAACTCAGCGTTGTCTTCTGACACATTAAACATACGGCATGAAATAAAACACAAGCGTTCTACAGTCATTGTGCGATTGCTACTAAACTGAATAGTTTTGTCATGCTCATCCAAATTCACTCTTACGGTCACTGGTAAACTATTTTCAGTCGTAGTGAAATGAATCGGTGTCTCCGCCATGAAATAAATTAATTGAGTTTCTTTCGCAGCAATAATCTCATTTAAGTAAAGCAAATATTGAGTATCAAGTTTGATCTGTTGTTCATTGCAAACATCGATGATCGTGGCTTTGATGCTAAAATAGTTCTCGAAGACAAATCCTGATGATGTGATTTCAACATGACAGACATCTTTTCTATCAACGAGAAGAAACTTATCTTCCTGTATAAAAGAAATAGCTTCATTCTCCTTTAGAATTCTTTTCGTTTCTTTTGTAGCTAAACATCGGTCTGTATTAATTAGCTTTAGCAGATCACGCGTCGTCATGCTTTCTTTCGGTAAAACAATGGTAGTCTCTTTTTCGCCATCATGGATTGTCACAACTTTTGATACCACCAATCGAATATTGAGCTCATCGTTCTCTGTTTTACAGAAGGTTCGCAATGTTTTCTGAACGTCGTGTTTAGATAGAGGAATCGACTGATTCTCTTTTTCCAAACTCATCGTAAAGTGTTCGGGTATCGTGTTCCCGAATTTGAATATTGTCCGAAGATATTGGTTTTTCAACAACGAGATGATTTTCATCGATTTGAAAACTTGAACGCTTTGATAACTATCTTTGTAATACACAGTTACCGACATGACTGATTGTTGATCAATCACATTGATGGCACTGAACTCTGGTGAAGTCACGAAGGAACTGAGTGATTCAGTTTTATCCAGAACTAAGTGTTGTTTTGGTGATAAAAAAGCGACATTCTCGATGGCATGATCAGTTTTTTGAGAAAACTGTTTTAACCACAATTCAATGTGCTCCCACGTGGCTATCATATCACAGAAAATCGTTTGTCGAACACCATTTTCCATATCGGTGACATTTATTTCGCATTCCATATCATCCATTGATGATTTCTTCTTGACATTAATCACAATCACCTTTTCCTTGCTCGTGTACAAATCAGCCACCTTCACATCTTCAATGCACATCCCAATCTCATCATAGAAGCAAAGATGAGTATCGGCTGAAACCAGTGCTGGTTGGTTAACATTGAGAAAATGTTGTATAACCGTCACTATTCGATTTGTCACAACTGTGAAGTACTGAACTATTGACTGACGAAAGTGGAACTCAACAGAAATCAAATCTTTTCTTTCCACGACGCGATAATCAAGCGACGAGATTTTCGAAGTACCAAAATCAAAAACGATTTCATTCGCATCCAAAAGAACATGTTCATCATCGACGAAGGTCTGTAGGCGTTCGGAAATTTTATCAATTCTCGTCATATATGCCGCTCCATTTCCATCAGAACGTTTAATCGTAAACTTATGTGGTCGAGTTGAAGTCAATACTTCTGGTGTTTGAGATTGTTGCAATTGTCGAAATAAATTCATTGATGAATATGGAATTCGTCGTATTTCGAGTTTAAACAAAACTGAATATTGAAATATTTCTATGCTTTCTCGTGGATCATTTGGACTCGAACGTAATGGTTTATCACTCGTATCTCCGCGGTCATCTGTGTATTCATGCCACAATTGAATCGCTCTCTCTTCGATGTTGACTTTTCGTTCTTGAAGAATCGAGCGTATTCGAACTAGATGAATGTTTATTGGGACATAATTCTCACAACAGATTTCCAGTGGTATCCAGTCCAAGATTGGACTATCTATTTCACAAATACGACAGATTTCGACTAATGATCTCGAAGATTGTTGAAGGAAAGTATTTCTCGAATTTTTCAGGTCATTCAAAAGTTGTGTTATCATTTCAATCGTTGTTTGAATTGTTTCGAGGCTATTCTTCTGGCTGATATTTTGATTGAATTTCTCAACGATTCTCGCATTCAATTCCAGAGGAATCGGAGTTCGAAGGAAGAGTGGTATGTCCATGAACAAATGCTCAAATCCATGTATCAACTGTACGTAGAGTCTCATCACATGATCAATATGACATAAAGGAAAATCTTTGATTTGATACTGTCGAATTCGTTCGAGAAATTCGTTATCATTATCTATATGCTCGACAAAGTCGAATAAGCTCGTTGATAGATCAGCGCGATTAGAATCAATTTTCAATATCGAGGCAAGTTGCCGTAATAGTACAAACGAATGATAAAGATTATCTAATGAGATCGT